TGCCATGGTCGTGGTAGCCTCAGTCGTTGGTGCCATGGTCGTGGTAGCCTCAGTAGTTAGTGCGATGGTAGTGGTAGCCTCAGTCGTCGTTGGTGGCATGGTTGTTGTAGCTTATCATATATAATTAAAAATACAGAGAAACAAAAAGTTTATGATTAAACTCAGTATAAAAGTAGTGTCTTAGAGGTTCACGTTATATATAGGCAAAGACCTGGATTACTTTCCTTTTCAGGAAAGGAACATGTATGCCAACTACTTCTTGCAAAATGGCCAGAACCCGGACAAGTTAGGATGCATCCTAGAGGTATTGCAAGACAATTGTCACAGGTTCCCTTCGCAATTTCAGAAAAATAATGGGAAACCAGATAATTTAAAACCAGTCAGATAAACAGAATGCTCGGTAAATTAGTACCTCTCTTGTGTGTAACTTGTGATGAATTCAACCGAGTGACGGTGCACCCATTTTGTTGGTTTTTGAACTGATCCCTAAAATGGAGTCGAACTCAAGCTTCCTGATCATTTGCCTCTTCTAAGTTAAACGACAAAAAACTAAAATTTTCAACTTACGAATACAATTTCCACATGTTGCGTTGCAGTTTACGGCTAAAAAGTCACGAAAAAAGCTGTCAGGCCCACAGAGACCCAAGGCCAGATAGGCCTCGCAGCTCTCCAATGTGTCTGCAAGGCATACTGAAAAATGAAAGAAATAATTCGTTAAAATCCTCGTTCCTCACAAACTTGCGTGTAAAATATTTAATAGCAAAACTTTGCAAAGGTCGCGCCTCAAAGATGGCTTCTTGTGTTCATGGATGGAGCCCAATCAGGGTGGTGCTTTACTCCGTGTAAGGTAATACGTGTCGGTCTTATATTCTGCATTCCACGCTGTGTATTCCGAATCCCAGGTTCTAAAGTCCGGACTCCGTCCTACTAGATTCTGAATTCCATAAGGTTGGATATTATTTTTATTTCGCAAAAATCCTTGCTTTTGCGCGCCTCGCACCTTACGAAGGACTAACCGAGAGAAAGAGAGAGAGAGAGAGAGAGAGAGAGACAAGGAAGGAAACAATGTATTTAGTGGATGAGAGATAAGAGGGTATGGCTCCTTTATGGCTTGAGAGACAATCAGCGGACAAGAACATAGTTTGATCTTTCTTTTTTTTTTTTTTTTTTAAAAAAAGAAGACCCACTTGGTGGAGCAGTGGTCGGTGGTGGAGCAGTGGTCGGTGGTGAAGTGGTCGGTGGACCTGAAACAAATACAAAATATCAAAAGTTTGAGTGAAGGGTAAGCTTACCCAAGAGTCAAAACTTTTCATACAAAAAAAAGTTTGGGTTGCAACTTTAGAAGCTTAGAACACGACGTAAGAAGATTAGACTGAATGTAGTAATTTGCGGCAGACCGTTTTAAAACATTAGGAAGTTCAAGAAGCCGAGTGTATATATCCCCCCCCCCCATCACCCAATC